GTCTCGCGGTTTTCCCGCCCGTCCCCGACGCGACGCGTCGAGAGAACGAGCGAGACGACTCGTCTCTTCGTTCGCGACAATTTTCATTCACCTCGCGTTCGACCTGTAATTCGCGATTCGCGATAATTTATGTAACGCGCGTTCGAATTCGGCGTCGCGATCGCCGCGACCGCGGGGGGTAAGCGCGGTCAGATGACTCGTCTTTTCGTTCGCGATAATTGTTTCATTCACCTCGCGTTCGACTTGTAATTCATGATTCGCGATAATTTATGTAACGCGCGTTCGAACTCGGCGTCGCGATCACCGCGACCGCGGGGGGTAAGCGCGGCCAGATGACTCGTCTCTTCGTTTGCGATAATTTTTTCATTCACCTCGCGTTCGATCTGTAATTCATGATTCGCGATAATTTATGTAACGCGCGTTCGAACTCGGCGTAGCGATCGCCGCGACCGCGGAGATGAGTATACGCATTTGGAAAAAGAGGGGGGGAAACAGAAAGAGAGAGCGCACAGATGAGATACGCATATAGTTTTTTTTTATTCAAAAAATAATACAAACGCGTTTACATTGTTTCGCTCGCGCGAATATATGCATTTCGTAGACGCGACATCGTTATAAGGAATCGAAACATAGCGCGGCTATCTCGCAGTCGACGATGTTGTCAGGATCGAAGAAATCGCTCTTCAGTATCTCAGTCTGAATCGAAGTTTCCATTTTCATCGCGGCGACGGCTATCTCCCGATAGCGCAAAAACTTAGCGTCGACCTCCTCGGTCGCCGCGCTCAGCGCACGGATGACGCGATCCACGCAAAATTGGAGATCGTACAGCTTGAGCAGGGTTGTGCGTACCATCGCCACGCGAGCCAGGTTGGGTAGCTCCATACGTACGATCGGCCCGTTGTTGATCACTCCGAATCGCATTGTCATCCCTCCGATCGACATCGGCGAGGGGGGGTGAGTTACGTCGGAAAGAGCGCGTTCCATGCACGACATTACGTCGCGTTTGCGCTCGATCAGTCCTTTCCACATGTTGAGCGTTAGGGAGATTTCCCTTTCTTGTTTGTTTCCCAGGGCGATATCCACGTACGAAGGCGTGGTATGAATACTGTACCACGGTGTCTTGATCGTAATACCTATTGCTATGTACTTGTAGCCAGTCGACGTCAGCAGATAACGCGTCGTCAGGATGCGCACAGGGGGCAATTCGACGGGAAAGTTGGAACGAAACTCCTGATGATCACGACGACGATCGTCCTCGACGGGCGCGTCGGTTGGAGGATGAGAGCTGCGACGCGATTCCTGGCGACGAGGAAGATAATGGCGATCGTCCATCGAACTGATCCTCCGCCTTTTATTGCCGTTGTCGTTCGCCTCCGAATCCGCCGTCTCCGTAGGAGAAATACTCCTCGGCGCGGGTCGATCGGCTAATGTCGAGAACATTTCGCGCTGCGGTAACCGTTCCTTTGTGATTGTTTTTTCCGACGCGTCGTATTCGGCCGACGACGCGACACTGATGCCTTGGAAGGGATACGTCGGTATAAGTAGGAAAGATCTGACTTATGTCGCGCGTGGCGCGGTGTGGGAAATTTGCGCTGTAGTCTACTTCCTTCGGCGGATGCGGAAATCGGAGAGCCGAACTCCGGTGTTGTCATCGTTCCAATAATCGCTCGCCGACGTTAGCGAGTTATCGTTGAGGCGTACGATTCGATCGAGGAGATCGCGCAACTGCTGCAGCAGGTCGGCCTTAGGGCAGACGATATTCAGTATCCGCAGATCGAATTTACCGGCCGACGAGACGGTCCTCGTAAATTTGTTGAATTTGTAGAACTGCGCCCGAGTGGTGAAGTACAGATTGCCGTCGATGTAGCGGAATATCGACGTCACGCCTTTCGGTATTCCGGGAAACGTCGCCTCGAGGGGCGTAAATTTGGCGACTCTCTTGTTCTTGTCGCATTCGTCTATCTCGCCCACCGCGTTACCGTTGAACACCACGTAGGAACGTCCTCTGTGGGTGTTCACCGCTCCGTTGATCAGCGCGTTTTCGGGAAATCCGAGTTCTTGCAGGGTCTTCGGCCAACCTGGCCGCAGACTAAATTCCGGATATTGAACCAAGTATACCAAATTATCTACGAACACCATGAGATCGCCGGATGGGGATTGATAGGCAGCGGTCACGCGCGTGTAATTGTCGTGAAGAAAGCTCATGTGATTCGAGAGGGCTAAAGGTCCGTTGTACGTCTTACCGTCCAGATCGATCGACCAAACGTAACGTTTGTACGAGATGTACATTCGATTTTCCAAAATCAATATCCTGTTCACGCGATCGAGGCTGCACAGGTCCGGCGACGGTGGCGGCGGCGTCGGCGGCGGCGCTGGCGTCCGACGCGGCGGATCGTTTTCAATTTTTTCACCGTACAAACGTTGAATGTTGATGATGTCGTTTTGGTCGAGCTTCACCGGATACTGCTGGTCCGGCTGTATCGCGAACATCACCGATGTTTTGCGCCTGTTGTGCACCAATCCGAGAGAGTGACCGATCTCGTGCGTCAGCGTGTAATGCAGGGAAAACTTATCAGCGGGATGTTTGTTGACGTAAATGTGCCACGGCTCGTCCCCGTCGACGTGCACCTCGGAAACGAATCCCGCTTGGTCCGTCGGGAGAGACGCGTGGGCGAGCACGTTGCCGGGGCCGTCGAATTTGACCGAGCACAATGCTCCGTTTACCTCGGCGTTCGTGTTAGTGTAATAGGCGTCGCCAAGATATTATAATGTCGGCATTCGACGTTTCGGAGCGTTCGAACGTCAATGCAGAATGCTGCGACCACAGGTCAAACGCGGCCTGCGCCGTGCTCAGCTCGGTTTCGTCGGCTAAGTGAAAATGCCACGTCAGGTGCGTCTTCGGCCATTTGGACAGGCTCGCTTTCGTTCCGTGCTTCAGGATATCTCGGAAACCGCATCGCGGTTTACTCATGAATTGCAACGTTTCGTTGTTGGGCGTTCCGTCGCCGGGTAAATCGTAGTAATTCTGAAAATCCTTGAAGGCTTTGCGAAGAACGTCGTTTCGTCTCTGAGCCGGAACCGCGTCCACGTCGTTGGACAGATATCCGTATTTCTGCAGGTATTCGAACGTGAACGCGTAATTGTCGTCCGTAATTGTGGAATTGATGCACGCCGCGGCGTTAAAACACGCGGTTATGTACGCGAGCCGCATCGTCGAGAGCGAGAGAGAGAGACGGTGAAACCGCGATGACGGCGCGTCGCGGTTTGAGCGCGATCTCGACGAGCGCTCCGAATGCGAACGTTTACGCGATGACGCTCGTTAGCGACAACGCGGATAGGTGGCGGCGCGGCGGAGGGTCTCGGGCGTGAAAAAAAAAA